ATTGTGTATATCAGAAGAGTCTGAGTGGGAGAGAGGCCCAGAGACATGATATGGTTTGAATAGTCCCATGAAATCAATGTGGAAATGTAATTGCCGCTGTAACAATAATAACAACCAGGACATTTTGAGAGGAATGAGTCATTAGAGTTCTACCTTGAGGATGGGTTAATCATCTGCATTTTCTGTTGTTGTAGATGTGGTCTAGTTCTCTTGAGAGTGACTCTCTGTTCTAGATGTTAGCTCTGTCTTGTTGCTTCTCACACCACAGCCTCTGCCCTCATCAGGTTGCAGTCCTTTGATATTGAACTTCTCTGTGTCTAAAACCATTGTGAGTCATAAATTGTTCTTTATAAATTAGCTAGTTTGTACCATTTCCATAGACCATCTGAAAATGGACTAAGATTCCCAAGTCACAGATGTTCAATGACAGTTTACCATTCCTTTTAAGAGGAGGGTGAATAGAGCTGGAGATGTAAAGGTGGATGGGCATACAAGTGTGAGTCCTAGCTGTTCCCTTTTCACGGTGGCATGGCAATGTTAACAGTCAATAAAGCAAAGGTTTCAGAAAGAAAAACTATTTGGTTGAGTTTCTTTTCCTTGTGGATGTTTAGCAATCTTTTCATCCCTATTTAGTACCCATCCTAATCAAAGATACACTAGTAAGTTCAAGCTTTTATGTTAGTATCCAATTTAGGTTTTATGAAATAAAAACAGGAGTTCTCAGCAAGAACTACAAGACAGCTCTAATAAATAAGCCACAGTCTTCATTGTAGTTTGAATAACTGAGTTTACCCAAAAGCTTTGTATTCTTTCCAGGATTCTGATCTTGAAGAGTTTTTCTACAGAACCAGAATTCTGGATACAGATCCAGTTCTTATGTCCAGTTACCAGTCACAGCATCTTGGCTTGCACTGGAGGGCCCAATGTCTTCCATGTTTGGTTTCTAGAATCCCGTTATCTTTTATCACCTTCTGTGTTTCTCTGGATTCATACTGCAGGACTCAAACAGACTGATATCAGCAAGATGGCTCAAGTCCCAATTTCCATTTCCTCCTGGACTCTGTCAGCTGCTCAGATAGACACAGAAGGCAGGATGACTATGATCCTCACTGCCTATGTGGCCAAGAAAGGCATGATAATCTCTCTTCCTCCCAGAATCCACTCTTTACAATTCTTCTGTGGCCTTCCACCCTTGACTAACGGAGCAGAAACAAATGTTTTGTGATTCTGTCAAAAATTAAAAAGTTGTCCCTTGAAAATGCTCTGTCTTCAACCAGGCACCCATGTAAGGACTGGGAAAGACTTAATGGTGCAATATAACAGAACAAATTTAACATCCAGTAAGTCATAGTTTGTTTCAAGAACCTCGTCTTGAACAGTATTTTGCCTACATGATATCACCTGGAAACTTAAAAGCAAAGAAGGGGGATGCCACTCAGAGGTTGGGTGTTGCTTCCTCAGGGTTCATATTTCATTTCAAGGTATTAACATGCTGTGGTACTCAACCTAACCACTTTAAACTCTTGGCATTTACAGTAATTCTGAGATGCCTTTAGCATCCTTTTTATATACTCTCTCAAAAAATAAGAGAATACAAGGCTTTCAGGGATATTAGGAATGCAAAAAAATCTAAGATCATTTTGTTAAAATTTATTACTTAGGAAATAATGAACTGCTATTTAGAAAGTCACTTTTAGCATTTCTTATAAATAAGAAACTCGGGTCTTATTTTCACACCTTCTCAGTCAATATCTCTCAACTGCAGATGAGGGCTAGGGGCCTGAATCTCAGTAAGTTCTCTTAGTGATCTCAGGAACAATTATATTTGGAACCATTAATCTGTAACAGATTTTAACAGCCCTAACTGCACAATATAATCCCATAGGGGTTTTAAAATGGTAATGTTCGCTAGAGCAACGGCATCTACTCTGCATGCCTTTGAGCCTGGTGTCCAGATACCATGCAGCACCAGTCACAATGTAATCCCTTGCATGTGATTGCAGCAGGCATCTGTGTTTACAAAGCCCCCTGGAAGATCATAGTATACATCTGTGATAGTTTATCTTCACTGTCAAACTGACTCAATGTAGAATCATCGTAGAAATATGCCTGAGTGTGTTTGAGGGCATTATTTTCAGGAGGATTCAGACAAAGAAAATACCTTCTGAATGTGATTGGATTCATCAGTGGAAGGATCCTGGATGGAATAAAAAGAAGCAAGTAAGCAAACCACCAACATTCATCTCTCTGCTTCCTGAGACTGCAGATCAATGGGGCCAGCCATCTTCTACCCCTACACACCAGCACAACATGGATGTGCATACAAACACATACATACACCACACAAACTTGGGAATACAGAAGTTAGAAATGGGTGAATGCCCAGGAATAAAGGAGGAAAACAGGTGTGCAAATTGAGATAGAGTGAGAGTGAGAACTAGTGGAACAGATGGGTGAAAACAGAGTGTCAAAAGGAACACAGATATCAGGGAAGACATCCTGGTATTATTTGAGCTAAGTCTCCCCTGCAGGTACTAATGTATCCTCCATAACATGCCTTCTCTCTCCTTTATGTCCTTGTACACCCTTTCGTGTTTCTGCTTTAACCACATTGAACTCCTTTCATTCCTTAAATGACACACTCCCTTGATTAAGCCCTCCATCATCACTGATTCTCTTTGTCTAAAATACTCAACATTTTCCTGTGTTCATCAACTACCTAGGAATTTTCTTAGTGTTGCTCCTTGTTGGTCTCCCATGGGATGAAATATGTCTTCACCATAAATGTCCAGATTCCCTGTATCACACTGTTTAAAGCATATATGCAAACATCTATACATACATGCATACATACATACATACATACATACATACATACGTACGTACATGTCATATCTGGGGCCCTAAGACAGCATATCCCACACAGCAAGAGAAAGGACTCTATCCTCTGCCACATGTCTCTATTCATACACAAAAAGTTAGCAATATTAAAAGAATGAATGGATTGCATGCCATTTCACAGGAAATGTGCTAAAATGGTGTGACATTCAGTGCCTTGTTTTAGAAAGGGTGAAAATGGATTTCTAAAATACAGCCTCAGGGTGGTGGGGTTAGTAATGCAGGAAATAAATTTGATTGCTAAAGCCTCCAATAAACCCTCGAATGACCTGCACTTTATCCAGTAGGTAACAGGATGTCAGTGAAGTTTTATGTTCAAGGGTATAAGAACTAGATTTGTCATTCAGGAGACTTCCTCTAGAAGCCATGCAGTGGTGGCCTGAAAGGGAAAGACTAATGGAAAGGAGATCAGCCGGGATATTTTCCGGTGCCACAGGTGAGAAACGTCAAAGGCTTCCCGGAAATAATGAGGTGGAGAATGCCATTCAGCAGGCACTTTTTAGATGGGATCTATAGCACTTGCTGACTAACTGCACGTAGGAGTGAGAGAGAAAGACGATGCCGCAGTCTAGCTCGGGAGTCAGGCTGCTCGGGGTCCTGTTAATGGAGACACACAATGCATGAGGAGAAAGAGCTGGTTTCAAGGAATAAAAATAATGAGCTCAGCATTAAACATACTGAGTTCTTTGTGCCCATGGGGTATCTGGGTAGAGTATTTTATGCGCTGGAAATGCATAACATCTCGGCTGGTACTTCATCGATTGTAGATGTGCCTGGTGTTGTCCAATTGACTGTGCTGTCTTCCAGTACATGTACTAGGAGACAGGGTTTGGAAACTGACAGTGTCCCATTGATTTCGTGAATTGCTTTATTTTGGGCTACAATTGGCAATCAAAATAACTGCTTCAAGGGGAGATTCTATAATCCCTTCCTGGTATTTTTTTTCAGTTAGATACACCAACCCATGCTATGTTTACCCAAATTCAAAAGTATAACAATTTTTTCAATAGGTAACTGCTGTTTATATTTTTTCTCATTCGTTTTCTCAGTTTCCATGATTTCAGAAAGGAAATACATTATTCTTGATAAGCTTTGTATTGCATATAACAGAAATCTAAACTGATAGACGAATGGATGGATGGATGAACAAGTGGGTGGATGAATGGATTTGTAATAGTACTGCAGTGATATGTAATATTTTCTGTAACTAGTTGCCTAGGAATTGAAAGCTTAATATCCTACTGTTTAATGCCTAACTGACTTTTCAGTGGGGTGCTGACTACAGCAACTGTGTGGGAAGGAATCACTATAAATATTTTTAAATAGGCTTTCATTACATTATTTTCTCTTGGCAATGTTAAATAATCCAAGGATTTAAAGGGTTTTTTTTTGCTGACTGCAAAAGATAACCTAAGCCTTGATACATTAACCTTTGACATGAATATTTGAAAATTCTCTTGATGCTGTTCTAAAACCTGGTAAATGAGACTATGCTCAGATTTCTGTTTTGAAAAGATAGACAAAGAAGTTGGAGAATAAACCACTTCAGGTGGACAGAAAACAGATGATGAAGACCTAGAACAATGCACCAGTGAATAGAGGCTGAAATGGAGAAAGTCAATCAAATCATTTTCTCCATCAAATACTTACAATTAACACATACCAAACTGTGGGAGTGTTGGCAAACAAACTAGTAAAGTTTCTTTCTCAGTTTATAGACAAAGACAGGAGCCACTCAACAGCCAAATCATCATGATAATAAGTGTAATTTGTATCCATGATGAATGTCTTATAAAAAGAAAAGAGAAACTCAAAAAAAGTATGGTGGACACACAGTATTTAAGAAGCCAAATTAGAAAGATCTTGAGTCTGGACTATTTAGTGAGGTTAATGCTAAGAAATGCCATCAAATATATAAGTAAAAATGTATGTTTGATGTGACCTTTGACCAGAAGATGAAACCAATAAGTTTCAAATTTTAACTTCTGAATTTACAATTAATCCCACCCAATTATCGACAAGAACAATGTCATCACTCTCTGCATTTTGCTGATGTGACAGTTTACTCTCTGTCTCCATGTTGTTTCCCCCCACACACTCAGATGTTGCAAGAGCAATTGAACTACTGGAAAAGCTACAAGAATCCGGCGAAGTACCAGTGCACAAGCTACAGTCTCTTAAGAAGGTGCTTCAGAGTGAGTTTTGTACAGCAATCCGAGAGGTAGGACACAGATTTTTAGCAACTACATTTGGCCATATGTCTTCTGGGTATAAAACACGTTTTGCCGTATAAACAGTTGAAATTGTTAAGCTTGGAAGAACATCTTTGCTTTCTGTTTTTAGCTCCTTGGACAGATGATAAAATATAATTTAGTCTGCTAAATTCTTAAATTAGACCCATGCAGAAATTATGCACTTATATAAAACCAAATGCTGATTTTATGATACCAGGGAAGGTTCTGCTTCTACAGGTGACTGTAGTGTTCATCTTAATCAACTTTGCAGTCACATGAAGCCACCTGGAAATTCAAGTAGAAATAATCATAATTAATGAGATGATTTCTTAGGGATAAACTTGAATAAATCTTTCAAAGTTAAATATGAAAGAGTAACTTCCTACCAGTTAAATATGGTTACTAAAATATCAATGTCTAGTGTGATAATGAGAGGAGATCTCCAAGTAGACTGGCATACCTTTGTAGCAAGTCTGCATAATTCTTTTCCAGCTAATCATTGTTTTTGTTAAGTGAGGTAAAAACAATTATATTCATATGACAATCTAAATCTCATAAATTGGATTGTGGTAAAACTGACTTATTCAACTGATAAATTTAATTGGTCACAAGAAAAATATCCTTCAGATATTTAAGCTAACTCATTTATGTAGTAACCTATTATACCTTATCTGTCACTCACTAGATAAAAATCCTTTAATCAGAATGCAGACCTATAAATATAGCATAGCTGTTGTTTTAGGAGTCACAGCTGATGAATCTTCTACTGGTCTCCTACTCAAGGCCATGTAAACCCACTGAACACCAGGAAAAGTTGGTGTTAGCACAGTGCATGCCTCTGACGGACAGATACTCCAGGTTTCCATCTTCTTTTGCAATGCTGCACGTAGATGATGCTGGTTTATAAGTCACTGATAGGAACAAAAGACCTGTATACATCACTGCAGCAGAGACCCACATACTCTGTTCATTTAAAAGGTAGACTCTGCAATGCACTTAGGGTTTAGATTTGGTGGGTGTTTGACTTACACTATATTTCTGTTCAGCATTTATTAGGTGAAGTTGTTCACTATTTGCATTTTGTTAATACTGAACATAGCTTCAATAAATAACTATAATTACGTTTCTAAATTTTCAACCTGTCAGTTGGACAAAGGCTGGAAGGAAATGTCTCAGAATGTAGTAGGTCTGTAGCTGTCTTCACATTAGTACAAAACGTATATCATACCGAGAAAGCCAGGGACTCATACAGATAACCTCCTGTGAATGCTTTGAAGCAGGAGCTTAGTTCTCCAGGCTCTTTTTTCTTTCCCTTTGGATTGTGTAATCTCTTGAGAATTTTAGCCAACTTTTCCTTTTTTTAGAGATTAAATCATCTCTTCTGTGTCACAGCATTCTGATTTCCACAGAAGGGACTCAAGGACAAGGCACATAAAACATTTGTCTCTGCTCAGTAACTATGTGGCTCATGATCAGTTCCAAGTTTCTGTGTTCACAAAACCTGCACTCTTCATGAAAGAAAGCGTGATAATTAAGGTTACAATAGAAAATGAGAGAGTGATGATACCATAAACAGTGAAAAAGTGGATCAGAGGGGTTGGAGTAAGACTTTCCCAATTTAGTAAAGTCAGAAAAAACTAATTGAATATGGAAAAAAGTCACACACATTCTGAGAAGGTTGGTGTTTCAGGCACAGCAAGTCACAAGTTCAAGACCTTAAAGGCAAAAATGCATGAATGACTATCCTGAAAGGCAGCAAGTCTTCATGAATGGAAAGGCACATTCCCTAGAAAAAGCTGGAGAGCAGGCTACATATGACTTCATAGACCATGTAAAAACATCAGGCTTTAGTCTCTGTGAGGATTTCTTGGAGATTTTTGGCCAGACCTGATTTGCTTTGGGAAAGGTCTCTCTGGCTACTGCAAAAACACAAATACTGGTATAAGGGTGAAAACAAGAGACCAGAAACAATGTAATGAGGACATAATATGAGAAATGGAATGTGGCAGCAGTATAATAGAAGGAAGTTGTCAAAATCTTCCTCTGTTTCTGAGATGAAAATGAGCTGATATTGTTGATGAATTGAGTATGTAACATCAGAGAAATAGAAGTATCTGTTGGATCTTAGTTTAGGTTTTGACAGTTGGACAGATATGCATGAACATGTTACAGTGAAGTACATTATTTTGTGTAATTAATACATGCTGACAACCAAGAATACAAAAGATGTTCATAAAAAAGAGAACATAAGCTAATAGATACCTACACTGTATAAACCTGAACACATAAAAGTACTTTTATGTACACACTAAAGTACTTAGACATAATTTTGTTCTTAGAGTCAGTACTTAGCATCCTACCTGGTATTCGCACTAGTGATGTAGAATCAGTTGCACATCTACAATCTGCAGTTATCGTCATTATCATCCCTGCATTGCATTACATGTACTGTAGGAAGCAATGGCAGAATTGTAACACAACAACTTTAAATAGGGTTCTAATGAAAATGCCATCAGTGACAATACATCATAAAATATGGGTGTGTTGCCAGAATATGTTGCTAGATAGGAGGATCAAAAGCCAATAAAGAAATTGACTCTAGGAAGTCTAGCAGTGAGTATCCAAAAGTTAAGTAAGCTGGGGCCAAGAGCACTTTCATTCCTGGTCTCTGTATAGCTGGCAAGCAATGTGGAAGTTTAGGTTTTCATTTAAAAAATCTTAGGATTTTTGTTGTTAAATTATTTGATTTTTTCCAGAAAACTAATGTTATCTGAAATTTAAATTGTATTACTGGTGATAGCTAACAACGCAAAACCAAAGATAGGTCACACAACTGCCAATAACATATGCTCAAAACAAGAAGGTAGGGTTAGCTTTTGTAAATATTGCCTTACATAAATGGAACAATAATTATCATTGTAGGAGGTAATTTCATAGTTTGCTATCCATGTAGGGTGAGACTACTGAATCAACCCTTGGAATAGGTACAATGCTTTTAGAAGAAGAGTTTTATGAGATTTCATGTGTTTTAAGCTAAAAATCAGTGCTCAGAAAATATCTTAACTCTTATTCTGTAATCTGTAAAACTAAAGTCTGAAATAGTGCATGTTGAGATCAGTACTGAGAGGGGGCTATCAGCATATGCAGTTAATAAAGGTGCTGCTCTATTAGTAGATTGGTGTAACAAACTCACTAATACACCAAGCCACACACAGCATTAAACAGCACACAGACAGACATCAGCATATATTTTGGTTGTGTTTATTTGATCACAGATCTTGAAATACCCTGATTGTTGGTTAAAAGGCACACATTCTGTGACTGTAACCTCAGAATACATGACCAAGAAATGGGTGAATATGTGATACTATGTTTTTACAATGAATTACGTCTATACAAGCAGATAAGAGGATATTCACACAGGAGTTTGGATGAGAGATGAAGAAAAGATTGTACAACACCCGCTATTTTTGTGATTTTTTAAAAAAAGAAACTTCAACATATTTTATCTCTATACTGAATAATTAGCTAGCATGGCCTGCATTCTAAATTGAGGTTTAAATTTAATGGTTTTGAAATGGCAATATTTGACTTCAAAGCAGTAGATGATTACAAGGAAACAGACCTGTTTCCATATTTCATGTCCTGTGTGTCAGATAAAGAAAGAAGCATGTGAATAACCATATTTAAGAGACCACCCATGCATAGTTCAATCTCAACCAACTACAAACCCTGCAAATGGGAATAATGATTTGTTTGCAAGGTTTGCCCACTGGTCTAATCATGGTGTTAACACTAGAGGAATGAAGAACCACTTTTTTATTGCATTTAAGGTCCACTATGAGCTGGAACTCATACCTTATGTTGTTAATGAGATCAAGAACCTAACAAGCTAGATCATAAGACCCAGTGGAGAACCCACTACTATTATTCTACTAAATGAACACAGCAACAAAGCGACTCTTAATGGTCTATTACTATACTCATAACTCTGAGAAGAGAAGATAATTGTGGTAGAAGTAGATGGCAATCAACACAGAGACCCACAGATGTTTGATGTTTAAGGAAACCACTGACTTCAAACACAACAGCGTTAATGTGTATAATAACTCAAAGAAACTGTGCAAGCATGCACAAGACAAGTACAACTCAAGTCAGACAAGATCCCAGTACTAAAGTTGGGAAGTGGGCACAATGTGTTACTCCCAGCCTAGAGCTATTCATAACTGATAGCTAGTGAAAGTTGGAAAGAATCAGTTTTCTTCAATGGAATTACACTAGGTGTATTAGTCGCCCTCCAGGGCAGGCTGACACAAATAGAGCTCTATGAGTTTTAGTGGCTCTTTTCTTTTATTTTTGATTTTGCTTTAAGAGACAGAAAGAACATGAAGTTTGGAGAAGGTAATGTGGAAGGAACTCGGGGACAGGAAAGTGTATGATAAAATACACTATTGAATTCTCAAATAAAAATAATAAAAATAAACCATTAGCAGAGATAGATTCAACTACAACAACTGGATATAAAGAAATTATTTTCATAGCCAAAGTAATCAAAAAACTTAGCTAGTAATTTTGTTACCGTGACCATCTTCCAGGCTATTAAGCATCTGAGCTTTCCACTCCCCAGGATAATATACTACAGACCTGAGTGTGACCTTCTGCCAAGAACTGGTGCTGGGGAGAATGGCCTCCAGCATTTATTACTGGAATATGCATGGTTGAACCAAAATATAGACCAAAATTACATAGTCATCGAAAATCATTTTCTTTAGTCAATCATCAAACCTCACATGATAAATGTTTGTAATATGGTGAAATGGTAAGAAAATATATTACTTACACATACACACACACACACACACACAAACACAAAAACACACACCTCTTTTTAATTAAAAAGGAAGTTTGCATGATAGTTTAATTGTAGAATACTTTTCCTAAAATTCATAGGGCCTTGGTTTGGGTCCAGCATCAAATATAATGAGCT